TCCCTAATCCAGCTGGCTGAAGGTAGAATTTTGGGGTGGCTTGGGTTTATTTGCTTATTTTCTGGTGGGGTTTTTTTTCTGCTGCTGTTCTGCTTGAATGCCTAAAAGCTGCTTGCTAAACCACACCTGCTGCTCTTCCAGCCCTATGTGAACAAATGAACATATTCTGCATTTTCTGTCCCACTTGGAGCAGCCACAATAATTCAGGCTTTCTGCTTAAACAGGGCAGTTTTGTCTTCATCCTGTTTGAAACTGAAATATAGCAGGATTTTGATCTCTTTCTCTTTCTCTTAATTTGAATCAACAGTTTGCTTCAGCTAAAAAAAAACAAACAAACAAACAAAACCAAACCAAAAATAGCACCTGAAAACTCTGGTATCAAGCAGGCATTGACTGCGGTGAGTTAACAAAGCTGTTTCAGTATTTATGGAATTTAGAACTTGGACAGTGTTCTTGAAGTGCAAAATAGTCTGTGCGTGGTAAAATCAATCTTGTTTGTGCTGATAAGAAAGTAGTTTTGGTAAGTCTGATTCAAAATTTATTTTTTACCTGTGGCTGTTTCAGTACAGACAGTAATACCGTGTCTTTAGGACTCTCCTTCTTGAATTCACAATGGCTTCTGTCATATATGCAGGGAAAAAAATCTGCTGTTTTTTTGGAAGCATGTACTGGACTGTTTCCATTTATTCTTGTCGAAGTCAAGAACAAACTGAAGTTTTAAAATTGTCTGTCTTGAGTGTCTGATTCAAGATATATCTCAGAGTTACTGAGAAATGAGAACACTGTAGTTTAAGAATCTGGAAATGTGTGAAACATCTTTGAAGAAAAAAGGGAATAATAAAATCCTTGCCTTTTTCTTTTTTTCTTTTGAGGTCTTGATTACAAAAAAAAGTGACTGCTCATATATTGAGAACTTGTGTGTAAGAGCCTCCCACATGTCTGGGGCAGAATATCTGTAACAGAGTGGGTGGGGTACTAGATCTGATGTGAAGTGTACCATAAAACCTCCTAGAAAATAAACGCTGTCTTATTGCCATGTTTTTCAGGCTGCTTGTAAACCAGACTTTCATGGGTGTGAGTAAAGCTGAAATTAGTAGATTTCTATAATGAATAAGAGTATAATTTGAATTGTTAAAGCCCCCTGACTATGAATACTGACACAGTTCTGCAGCGTTTTCCTTGTGGAATTAGTGGCAGCTGGAGAATTGCTTTTGCAGAGTCTTTTAAAAAGCATAGTACTGCTAGTTTGGGCTTGTTGGGGTTTTTTTCTCAAAAAAAAGGATGAGTTCCAGTTTTGGTGATTATGCCTCTTTAGGAGTGGATTGTAATATTTCAGAATTTTTGTAGAAGTAAACTTCATCTTAAATTACACACAATGTAAGAATAGAGGACTTGTTGTATGTCTTAAAATATCTGGTGTCAATCACTCTTTTTGAAATTTATACACTTCACAAGTGCCTGGACTTACATTTCCGTGCTGTTTGTATCTTGTGGTATTTGTTGGGAAGCACTTGCTACTCCACAGCTTCTTTTAAATATTTTTGTAGGGGTTTTTCAGTTGCTAAAATTTTACGTGAAGTTTGATTGATGGATATTCCTCTTCATGTAAAATTGAAATATGCTGGGTTTTAACTAACATTTTCTTAATAGTGTACTATCTGAAATTCAGACTTCTGGCCAAATAAGATGATAAGTTTGTGGAGGGTCTCTGGCAACTTAAAAACAAGTTGAAAACACACTAGAAGCATCTAATATAAGCCACTTTTAAAGACTTTTTTTCTTTTTTAATAACATGCATATCCAAGCAGGATTTGGGGTGTAAGATGTTTGTATCTAACTGTAAGAACACGCTCTTCAGTGTGTCCTTTGTCCTGGCTGTTTTTACAGCACCAGGGAACTGTCTGGCCCTGGTACCAACTGTCCCTCTCTGGGTCTGTGGTACTTCACCAGTTCCCAGCTGGAAAGTCTTTCCAAATAAATAGGATTGTCTTGTACTTAAATCACCTGACAGTTCAGTTCCCTAATATGTAATTGAAATCTATGGGAAATAGTAATTTATCCCATGTGTCATTTTGGAAATGCACAAGCCCTCTGTAAATTGCTTTAAATGGATAAGTGCAGTGATGTAAATTTGGAAGGCTTCAGAGCAGCACTCAAACATTGAAAATGCATTTCAGGTGGATATTTAGCTCTTTGTACATTACTAGTGCCAGTGGAAATAGGTGATGTGTTGGGGTTTTTGTGAAGGATTTTACAAATCAGTTACTGTGTTAAGAATGTGAACATAAGTGCTTGTTGTAAATTAAACATTATGTTGAGACTGCTTTTAATCCCATATGTGTAGAAGATCTAAGTAGTGCTGCACCAAGTCCTGCATACACTGTTAAGTGTTTTGCATATTATTGTGTTTAACTGCATTGGTATTTTAGAATTAATTCCTCTTTAATTCATTGTTGTATGAATTTTTTAAAAGTATTTTGAAAATAGAAATCAATATTGTAGTAAACATTGTCTTAATCTAGGAGGCAAAATGTCTTGTTCAGGGGATTATTTCATTTTTCTGTGCTGCAGCAAAAGTCTTGCAGTGTGTGCTGAACACTTTGTTCTGAAGTTACCTGAGGATGATGGTTTTGGTTTGAATGTATGGGTGGATATGTCTGCATCCTTACTGGAATGCTTTAGTCTGTTAGTTTGCCTTTTTTTTAGTTCTTATTCTTAGTATTGAAAATAGTTTGGTCCAGGTTTGTGTTCTTGTTAAATAGCCTGCAGGCTGTTTTATGGTGTGTTTGTGTAAGGGAAAGACCTGATAAATACCAGCTCACTGAGTTTTATGGTGGTCATTGGTTTGATGTTCCCACGGAAAACTCTTTTTTTTTAATAGATTTTGGGAGAAGGTGTATTGTCAGTTGCTGGTACAACCTGGAAAGTAGTTTATTTGTGCTGAAAACCCTTCAAACATGCAAGTATTTAGTCACTCAAAACTTGGCATTATTTTCCAGTGTGTTTGTCTAACTCTTCCATTTTAACTTAACAAAATCTGAGCCAAGCCTGTGTTTTCAGGGGGTAAAAATCACTCCTGACAGGAACAGGGCACCCTTGTTTGTGCTTGAAGTGAGAAATGTGAAGGGCAGAGTGTGCTGTGATGGCTGGAGGTGGGTCAGGGTGGGGAGGGGATCAGGCCCTGAAGTGATACCAACTCTTGTAGAATGAAAATAGTGGGGTCATCTGGGTGGTGTGTTCCCTGCTCTTGTGATCCCTACTATTACTTTAGTTATTCAAGAACTATGAAGGAAACTTTGAGTCAAATATCAGACCAGGCAGTACATGCAAAAGGCATATTTTGAGTTGATTGCTTATAGCAGGCTCATAAACTGTGGCCCAGAGTGATTTAATGGCTTCGTATGTCATGCAAGACTTAAAGAAAAAAAATTGGAATAAACTGTTTAAAATTGAATTTTTTTCACTTGACCTACGTCAAAACGGTTTTCTTCCTGAAGGAGTTAATGAGGGAGAAACTTGGAACCAAATTAAAGTTAGAAGTTGAATGGGGTTTCAGGAAAAGAGCTGGAGTGTTGAGTTGTGTTTATTCACAAAGAGAACAAAAGAAATGTCTTTCTCCTGCTCTGTGCGAGGCTGTTGCCCAGTGCCTTGACTGGGAGCATGGAGCTCCCTCCCCAGCGTGTGCTGACAGTCAGAGGATGCTCCATTATTTATGGGGGTTTGTGAAATTTCACTTCAGATCCATGGGACTGTTTCCTGCACATGTTGTGATGTCTGGATGTGACAGGCAGATGCCTGTGCTGGCTGAGCACACAGTACTTGGGAAAGCCTTCTTTGCCATGGGATGGCAGATCCAGGCTGCTGCTGGGTGCTGTGTCCTCTGCCCTGAGTGTCCTCGGCAGGAATCTTGGCTGGGGGGCTGTGTCAGGGTGTAACAGGGCAGGAATCATGGCTG